CCCTTCATGTGTTCACTCTTTCCGGTGCCTGGAACATATCAGCATATCTTACTTATGCTTCCACTTCCAACTCCTCCTTGAATACCTAAGTCACTGGTCATCTTCTGCGCCAAGCACTTTTAGATTTCTCCAGCTAGAGTTTCGTCTCCCATTATGCCTGAGAAGCATCTCTATTCCCGCCATTGGTAAGTTGTGTTTAAATTGCTTATTCTTTCGTTTCCCCCAGGTAGGTTATGAGTCCCAAGTTGTCAAGGAAGTGTTCAATATACCCCTATTATCCTGTCTGCGTCCTTGACATCTGACAGTTCAGTAAGTGCTTGTGAATGAACCCATCGAGTCAGGAGGCATACACACCAAAACAAAAACAAAACAGAAAGCAACAACAACAACAACAACAACAAACAAAACAGCATTTTCAAGCTTCAGGTACTTTCTTCATCTTTGGTTTGATAAAGAGCACGGTGGTCTGCTTGGATGATCCATTTTGACAGAATGTGGGAACTGCAGTTCTCCTACGCATGCTTTTCGACGCCATGTGACGTCCTTGTCTGTGACGGTCCTTCTGGCTTGTGAAACCACACGTTCGAACTACAACTCCACTGTCTTCCATTCCTCACGGGTACACGGGTGTTTGCAAACATCCCCCTCCCGTCCCCAACGCAGCAAAAACAAGACCCGTTCTCTGTTAATTGGAAGAGTCCTTCAGCTTGCAAAAGAAGAAAACACGCTTTCTCATGTTCTCGTTGCTATAAATCACACTGTGCAGTGAGGTGCCTGTCTTTCTCTCCTGACAGACATGGAGAATTGAATATGCCAAGGCCTCTGTGTTAGGTGTACCTTATTTTCGATATTTCAACCAGATGTCAAGAGCCGGGAAAATTTCTTTCCTCTAAGAAAATCCTATCTAATGGTTTTGGAAGAAAGATTGAGATGCGCCTGGGTGCTAATTATATTCTGGTTTTAGGGGCGCCTGGGGTGGCTCAGTTGTTTGAGCATCTGACTTCAGCTCAGGTCACGATCTCAGCGTTTGTGGGTTCGAGGCCCGCGTCGGGCTCTGTGCGGACAGCTCGGAGCCTGGAGCCTGCTTCTGATTCTGTGTCTTCTCTCTCTCTGCCCCTCCGTGGCTTGCGGCTCTGTCTCTCAAAAAAATAATAATAATAGTAAGTAAATAAAATAAATTATATTCTAGCTTTCCCTAGAGCTGAGTGGTACACTCAGGAGCTATCTCGAATGTGCATTTATACCCTTAGATGCAGAAAATGCCTCCAGTAAACAAAAGAAGTTACTTTTTTTTGTTGTTAGTTTGAACCTGTGGCCTTTTTCTTTCTTTTTTTCACAGCTTTACCGAGGTACAATTGTTATATGACAAACTGCACTTCCTTAGTGTATAGTTTGACAACTTTGGCCAATATACACCCGTGAAACCCATACCATGGCCCAAATAATGGACATAGATATTTACACCCTCGTGACTTTATAGGCCACCAAGACCAAGGACTCTACATCCCTAGGAGCTAATGAATTTTTTTCAACTTTTACCTGTTGCAGACATTGCTTTTTTTTTTTTTTTTTTTTTTTTTTTTTTTTTTTTTTAGTCATTTGACCCTTTCAGCTCTTCTGAGGTTTCATTTTCTCCTGTTACCCAACTGCCAATGTTGGAGTATTGGAGTGATTTCTGTTGCCTCTTGAAATCGATCCTGGTCAGTCTGTGGCCACTGGCATTGTGTATCTGGGGAGGCGAGGGATCTCAGCCATTGTGGTCATGCACATCTTCTCATGGGATTATGGTTCTTGGGTAGCCGTCTTCTTCCAGAACTCTTGGGGTCCCCTCTCTCTATTCTACCCCGACTCCAAGTGAATGCAAGTCAGTATTTCTCCCACCTCGTCTCTCTCACTGCATCATGACCTTGGCATGTGCTGATGCTGAATTCTACCTTCCTCTTAATCGTGGGTTCCTTTACTGACTGGCCGGCAGTAGCTGTAGGGTGTCAGGTCCCAGCTAGCATGCTAGCAAGCTTCTAGAAGTGGTCTTTTTTTTTTTTTTTTAATGTTTATTTATTTTTGAGATAAATAAAGAGTGTGAGCAGGGGGAGGGGCAGAGAGAGAGGGAGACACAGAATCCGAAGCAGGCTCCGGGCTCCGAGCTGTCAGTGCAGAGCCTGACGCGGGGCTCAAACTCACTAACTGTGAGGTCACGACCCGAGCCGAAGTTGGGTCATTTAACTGACCCACCCAGATGCCCCAAGGTGGTCTTGTTTTAATGTAAGCTTTCTCCTCTTCTGATGAGTGCTAAGGTAGCAAGCACTATGTGCTTAGAAAGCAAAGGGGAAACTACGGGCATCTGTATGATATTAGATCATTATATAGGTTTAATCTGAGTGCAGAACTGAAAGCATGTTAACTTAGAATAAGAGTTGTCATTCACATTCCCCGCCTCACGAGGGGGCATTCATTTTAATTTTCCCGTACAGAATATTGAAAGTTAAGTAAGAATCATAGGGCCTCTAAATTACCTTGTGATCATTTGTTTGATGAACAGGGAAGAATCATTTCTCCCTGGGAGTATAAAAGTGGTTTTACAAATAATTTGGAAACAAGCAAGTCACACACTGGGGCTTGGGAATCTTTTCCCCATGGGTAGACCCTTATAAGTGTGAAAATTGTAACGTCATTTACTGTGTTTTTGTTTCCGTGGCATGGTCACTGCCAGGTCTGGCAAAGGCTGAAAGAGGTGACAGGGTGTCTAACAAAGTTCATGGAGAACTAGGTATATTTGAAGATGAGGCTGGTTGGAGAAAGAGAGAGAGAGAAAAAAAAAAAGAGAGAGCAAGAGGGGGAAGAGAGAAGAGAAGAGATAGGATAGCAGGTTATAGGACGTTGAAAAGGATTGGGATAGAGATTTGGAAAAGATGTGGGAAAAGCACTGATTGTAGTTTACAAGGATGAAGGTCAATGAAAACAGGCATGGTTGTGTGTTTTCGTTTCAATTACCACATGATAAACTATCCAGAATGTAGTGGCCTAAGACATATTATACTCACAGATTCAGTGGGTCTAGTCCCCTAGCGGAATGGCTTGTCTTCATTCTGAGATGTCTGGAAACTTGGCTGGGAAGACATAATGGCTGAGGGCTGGAACCATCTGGAACTGTCTTCACTTACATGTCCCGCGGTGGATGTTGCCTACGAACCAGGATCTCCACTGGGAGACCCCTGTGCACAGGTGTTTCACACATAGCCTGGACCTCCTCCCAATATGGCAACCTCAGGGCAGTCAGACTTCTTACGTGGGACTCGTGGTTTCCAGCACGAATGTTCCAGTCAACAAGGTGGTTGTGTTGATTTTGAGAACCCAGCTTTGGATGACCCAGAACAACTCTCCTGCTATGTATACACTTTTGGCCAAAGCTGTCACACGCATGTCAAAATTCAAGGGGGAGAGGATGCAGAACCCCACCTCTTGCTGTGGGACGTGTCAGAGAATTCAGGGCATGCTTAAGACATCACAATTTGGTCATTCACCTCACCTGCCACCTTGAAGGATTCCTTCAGAGCTCTTACCTTATACTCCTGCCTCACTCCTGAGTGAATCTCAATATATTTTAATACGTAGTTGCTGAATCAGTAAAGGAGGGTACTCACGTTACGCAGCCTGAATCTTCCAGGGAAGATAAGGCCAAAATGTTGAGAGGAATTGAATGTTAAGATGTTAAAGCATACAGACAAAAAAAAAAAAAAAAAAAAAAAAATGCAGTATGTTCAGCGAAAGAGAAATAAAAGGTCAAGGACAGTGTAAAACATATTCATTTTTCTCCCCGTGAGAATGTGAACCCCGTAAAGATAGAGGCAGAGTCTGTCTTTTTCCCAACCTCATCTAATCCTTCCCTAGGGCTTGACGTGGAGGAAGTACTCTGTGAATGTTTCTGGATTGATGAAAAACTTAGCCGTAGTTTGAGACTATCCCCAAGCTCTTAAAAGCACCCTAGAAAGCTGTGTTTTTAGCAGAACATCTGGGCAATTCTGATACAGGCCAAATCTGAGAGCCACCGATTTGGACAATGTCTGAGGCTCTTCTAACTCTGGCATCCTGTTTCATCAGTACACATTCCACATGATCATAAGCTCCTCAAAGATAGCTCTGATGCCTCATAATTCTTTTCTGGTAACTTCCCATGGTCCCGACACATATTAGCTCAACAAGAAGAAACCACTAGTGTGAGTCCAGGGACCGTCTCAAAAGGACTGACATCTTACCTTCCTGTTGCGGTCGTAGATGTCCCTCCTATTTCCTGAGCCTTCCTTGAGCTTTGAGAACTAATCAGATAGGATCTCATTTGGTTTTCCAGAAGGGAGTCTTGCAAAGCTGGTGGAGGAGCAATTCCTAGGAGATTCAGGTCCATGTGAAGAGACAGTGCTCTTACCACCTTGGGATTGGATTTACACGTGATCATATTGTTTCAGATTTTTACGTACATCCTGCAAGGAACATATGTTATGAAACTGTAACTTCTCGTTTGATTGTCCTATTCCTGGGTGGCAGATGCTAATAACCTGTGGAAGTAATTTAGAGACACTTCCCTTCACAGATGTGCCAACCGAGGCCCAAGGTTGCACCAGGTTTGCTAAGGTTGCACAGCTGTTAGTGATACATCCGAGATCAGACCCCAGATCTTCTGACTTTCAGATGAGAGCATTTGCCCTCACATTTGGAATCCGCATAGTAGGATGAGGGAGATTCCTCTCCATCTGGAAAAATCCTAGACTCACCTCGGCCTCAGAGTCACCACCACCGTGGCCAGCCAGTTAGTTGCAGGGCATCTGGGCCAGAAAGCGGGCCTCTGAGAAGGTTTCCGAGGCCCCAGAAGCTGAAACAGACCCAAGAAGAAGCTCAGGATGAAATTGAAAAAAACCCTCTGCAAAGAGAGTAGTTCAAGGCCAAGGAAGCAGCAGCTCAGGGATTCCAGGGCAGCTGTGGCACTGGTGGGCAAGACCCAGGAGAAGATGGCCATCCTGCAAACCTACTTCCAGCAGAACAGGGATGAAATTCTGGATAACCTCTTGGCCTTTGTCTCTGACATCCAGCCAGAAATGCATGAAAACTACCACACAGGTAGGCACGGAAGGAGCAGGGTTGAGCGTGAATGGGCATTTATTTATTTATTTATTTATTTTTAAATTTTAATGTTTTATCTATTTTTGAGACAGAGAGAGACAGAGCATGAACGGGGGAGGGTCAGAGAGAGAGGGAGACACAGAATCTGAAGCAGGCTCCAGGCTCCGAACTGTCAGCACAGAGCCCGATGCGGGGCTCGAACCCACGGACCGTGAGATCATGCCCTGAGCCGAAGTCAGATGTTTAACCCACTGAGCCACCCAGGTGCCCCTGGATGGGCATTTAAAACGCCTTCATAGAAGGGCGCCTGGGTGGCTCAGTCAGTTGAGCCTCCAACTTCAGTTCAGGTCATAATCTCACGGTTCGTGAGTTCGAGCCCCATGTCCCCTGCATTGAGCTCTCTGTTGTCAGTGCACAGACTGCTTGGGATCCTCCATCTTGCTTTCTCTCTGCCCCTTCCCCGCTCATGCTCTCTCTCTCTCTCTCAAAAATAAATAAAAAACAGGGGTGCCTGGGTGGCTCAGTTGGTTAAGCATCCAACTTCAGCTCATGCATAAGGCTGTGCATTTATTCTTATAGTGTCACCATTGTTTAAAATGCATCTGGAATGTTCTTTGGGATTGCCTTCAGATTCTGTGGCATATTCCTTGGAATATCATTAAGAATAACACCCGTTATCATTTACGTGCAGATTTGTTTTGTTTTGTTTTTGCAATAGCCAAATCCACACGGAGCCAACCCTATAAATACTGTGATGGATGGTAGAGGTGTCCCCTCGCGGTTTTTGGTCAAGAGTGAAGAATCTATTCGCTCTCTCTCACTCTCTCAAAAGTAACTACACATTTAAAAAATTATGAAAAAAAAGTGGAGGGTCACCTGGGTGGCTCAGTCGGTTAAGCATCCGACTACAGCTCAGGTCATGATCTCACAGTTTGTGGGTTCAAGCCCCACGTTGGGCTCTGTGCTGACAGCTCAGAGCCTGAAGCCCGCTTCAGATTCTCTCTCTCTCTCTCTCTCTGCCTCTCCTCCACTGTCACTCTCTCTCAAAAACAAATAAACACTAAAAATAAATAAATAAATAAATAAATAAATAAA